AGGCAATAGCAAGCCTTTTCGAGGCTGTGCCAGGAATGAGCATTTGTTGACCTTTCTGTCTGTCAGTGGTGGTGGTGTTTGTTGTAGCCAACAGGGAAAAAAACAAACAACAGGTGAATAATTTTTCTAGAACTTTCACTTGAAAACTCAGCAAAAATTTCTTTCTCAAAAACATATTTTGTCACTGGAGAAATATTGGTTGCTCCTTGCCCAGGCAATGCTTTTCAAAGAAAAAGAAACAATTCTTGCTTGAGTTGGGGCAGTAGTCAGATCACTTCTATAGGAGCTGTCACATTATGGATGATTTGGGGAACTTAGTACATTAGGTTTTTCACTGGTTTGTTGTTGTTTGTTTTGTTCTGAAGCAAAGGTTTGGAATCTGAATAGGTATGTTAGCTAGGAGAGATTCTCAGAGATTGTTTTTGCCTTGATACATCATTTCCCATGGAGTAGCATTCAACAGCTTCATGTCCAGATGGAAACCAGTGATGAATGGTGTTCCTCAGGGATTGGGTGCCCCCTCAGCAAGTTTGCTGATGACATCAAGCTGTGTGGTGAGGTCAACATACTGGAGGGAAGGGAGGCCATCCAGAGGGACCCAGAGGTGGGCCTGTGCAATCTGCAAGTTCAGTAAGGCCAAGTGCAAGGTGCTGCACATGGGTCAAGGCAATCCCAAGCACAAATGCAGGCTGGGTGGAGAATGGATTGAGAGCAGCCCTGAGGAGAAGGACTTGGGGGTGTTGGTTGATGAGAAGCCAGAATGGGCCGACAATGTGTGCTTGCAGCCCAGAGGTCCAACCGTGTCCTGGCCTGCATCAAAAGAAGCATGGCCAGCAGGTCAAGAGAGGTGGTTCTGCCCCTTTACTCTGCTCTCAGGAGACCCCACCTGGAGTAACGTGTTCAGTTCTGGGGCCCCCAACACAGAAGGATATGGAGCTGTTGAAGTGAGTCCAGAGGAAGATCACGAACACGATCAGAGGGCTGGAGCACCTCTCCTGTGAAGACAGGCAGACAGAGTTGGAGTTGTTCAGCCTGGAGAAGAAAAGACTCTAGGGAGGCTTTATAGCAGTCTTCCAATACTGTACAGGAAAGCTGGAGAGGGACTTCTTTCAAGGACTTGTAGTGTAGTTTCAAACTGGAAGAGAGTAGATTTACATTAGATACCAGGAAGAAGTTCTTCAGTGTGAGAGTGGTAAGACACTGGAACAGTTGCCCAGAGCACTTGTGGCTGCCCTCTCCCTGGAAGTGTTCAAGGCCAGGTTGGATGGGGCTTTGAGCAATCTGGTCTAGTGGGAGGTGCGGGGGAGTTGGAACTATAGATGATCATTAAGGTGCCTATCAACCCAAACCATTAAATGATTCTATGATATTCCATGTTTCAGAGATCTCTCTCTAGTCATAGAGACATTAAAGCTGTGGAGTTTAACACTAAAGTGCAGACTCAAAGCATGTGAAGTGTTGATTTTCCACTGTCTGATTTTCCATTGTCTGAGCTTCTGTGAGCACCAGCAGTTTAGTCAGAGGAGATGCACTTTTTCCCTGCCCTTCTTTACCCCACCTTTTTCTCACTCCACAAGCAAAAGAATGAAGGTGTGTTTTCCTAGAATGATCTTTTTTTAAACCTGTCTGAAAAACCTAATGAGCATTTCCAGGCATCTAAATGCAGAAGCTGACCAGGAATCCTTTGCTTCCTAGAGAGTTAAAATTGAAGACTAGGACCTATACAGATCTATCTTGCTGTATTAATGTCTTTGTTCGGCAGCAAATTTTCTGCCTCAAATAAATCCCAGTTCTTCACATCTGTTTCCACTAATATTGTCAAGGAACTAAGCATTCTGAACAAAGCACGTTCCCGGTTTAAAAGCAGCAGGGGTTACTCAAAATGGCTACATTGTGTAGCTGTTGGTGGTACCATGGATGGGACTTCAAAATGTCACTTGTAGAAGCTGGAGTAGCAACATTGCAAGGTGGCTGCGTTGCATGAAAGACACGGATGTCTTTGTTTTGTTCTGGCCTTGAGTATGGTTTCTGTGTGACTGCTCTTACTTGATTTCCCATACAGCCATGTGCACACCAGAAGGCTGTGCTGCTATCCAATGAGACCTAGATAGGCTTGAAGTTGAACCTCACCAGTTCAGTAAGGACAAGTGTAGAGTCCTGCATCTGGGGAGGAATAACAGCAGGCACCAGTACAGATTAAAAGTCGTCCTGCTGGAAAGCAGCTCCATGGAGAAAGACCTTTGAGTCCCGGTGGACACTTACGTTGTCCATGGCACAGCAATGTTGCCTTGTGGCCAAGGCGGCCAGTGGTATCCTGGGGTGCATTAAAAAAAGTATGTCCAGCAGATCCAGTGAGGTTCTCCTTCCCCTCTAGTCTGCCCTAGTGAGACCACACCTGGAATACTGTATCCAGTTTTGGGCTCCCCAGTTCAAGAGAGACAGGGATCTACTGGAGAGAGTCCAACAGTGGGCTACAAGGATGATAAAGGGACTGGCACATCTGTCTTACGAGGAAGGGCTAAGAGACCTGGGACTGTTTACTTTTGAGGAGACTAAGGGAGGATCTTATTAATGTCTATAAATATCTGTGCAGTAGGTGTCAAGAGGAAGGGACCAGTCTCTTTTCAGTGGTGCCCAGTAATAGGACGAGGAACAATGGGTGTAAGCTAGAACATAGGAGGTTCCACCTCAACATGAGAAGAAACTTTTTTACTGTTAGTGTGAAGGAGCACTGGAACAGGTTGTGGAGATGGGTTGTGGAGTCTCCTTCTCTGGAGACTTTCAAAACCCACCTCGGTGCATTCCTGTGTGACCTGCCTAGGTGACCCTGCTCTGTCAGGGGGGTTGGACTAGTTGATCTTTGAAGGTCCCTTCCAACCCCTACCATTCTAAGATTCTATGATTGTGTGTTTTTAAATGAGAAATCTTGCAGCCATTTTCATTACTTTTCCTGTAATCTTGCTTTTAAGCTGACATTTTTGCGCTTTTTTCAACACTTACGGAAAAAGGTTCAATATATTATTTTTTGTGCTACGGAACTAAAAGATTCTACAATATTTGGTGACTGCTTTTGAACTATCACGTTGAGAGCAATTAGATAAAATGCTGGGTGATTTCATTTAGAAGCAAAACCTGAACCAGTGCAATTAGCAGCAGAAGAGAAAGGGAAACCCTTCCTCTGGGTCTCAGAAGTGGTGAAGAGTGTGGCTGTAAAACAAGGCAGACTTCTTGTGGTGGGAGATGCTCAAAGGATAGCAAAGAACTTTAGATCTATCTGTACCAAACATAAACAGTAATTTTGTGAGAAGAAGAGAATGTGTGGTTTGGAATGTTATTGACATGACAGAAAGCTGTTATGCAAGGAAGATCTCATTGAACTTGCCATTCATCTTAAATCCCTCTTTGCATTAATTGTATAGTAATTGAATCAGACAAATTTGCTTACTGTTAGGTAGTGACCTTTCAAAGTCTTTCCCCTCTTTTATTACAGCATGTAATGTTTGGTACCTGAATTCAGTGGAGATGGAGTCCCTCACGGGCCACCAGGCAGTACAGAAAGCCTTGAGCATGACATTGATGCAAGATCCTTCTCCAAACTCAACTGTTGTCCATTTCAAGGTGTCTGCACAGGGAATCACATTGACAGATAATCAAAGAAAGTAAGCAAATGAGGAATGGGAAGAGAATATCCAGCCTTGTCCTTAACAAATGTTGGCTGCTGTTAATTTTGTTTTCTTGGTTATGTTCTGTAGTCTCCGTCTCAGCAGATTGTCTAAATTGTGTAAAGAACAGTATGACCTGTCTGTAGTACTGAAGAATTAATGTTTAAAGCTATAAACATTACTTCCAGAGGCAGCTTTTACTGGTGGAAGGTCACTTTGCAATGGCATTTTTTAAAAATGGTTATTATTTCTTATAAAAAGAGAAAGTAATAACTTTACCAGAATTTTATATTCCACCTATTCAATGAAGTAATGTATCTTCACAGTATCTTTCACCAATATCACTGAACAGAGTTGGCCTGAGCAGACACTGTATATCTCCAGTATTTGAAATAGTGCTTTGGATAGCCTTTAAAATACTATGATACAAACTTAATTTATAGTTATTTTGTACAGAATGCTATTAGGGCTACCACAAAGTCTTTAGATTTTAAAGCAGACAATAACAAAGATGTAACAACAGGAATTCATTATAGATTAAAAGAAAAAAAGTGCCAGACTTCTTCATTCCATGGGGTCTGCAAGCATTCATAGCACATCGAGGACAAAACCTTAAATTATAATGCCGAGGAGTGCTTATATTTTGAAACTTACTTTTATGAAATTATTCAAAAGTTTCAAGAAGTTGCATTTCCCACTGCCATAGTATCTAAATGGCCAGTTTTTAGAAAAAATACATTGCACGCTTCTTGTTACCCTGAGGGTCAATTTTATTTTGGTTCAAAAACATAGTGTTACTATTCTAAATACAGATTTATTTGGTTGGAACAGTTCAGGTGGCTTTCAGAGTCACTCAGAGATAGCAAAAAGAATATATAATTGTTCAATTTAGATTAAATATAATTTATTTTTCGGATCTGTTTATTCATTAAAATTTTAAACATCTTAACTATTTCTAAAAGTTGTTTTGTTTCTTCCTATCCAGACTCTTTTTTCGGCGACATTATCCAGTCAACACTGTTATTTTCTGTGCTTTGGATCCACAGGAGAGAAAGTAAGGGAGAAAAGCAGTATTTCTAAAATTTTGTTTATATTGTTGATCTACCAAAAAAAATTAATGGGTTTAATTTTTATTCTTCCATTTCTTCTTTTTTTTTTCCCCCCACTGCTTTCTCACTGGATAACAAGATGGATGAAAGATGGCCTTTCTGCAAAGTAAGTGGACACATATCTCAGGTCTCTTTCAACTGAATGTTTCAGGGATATCATTACACTGATCATTTTCTTAGTGTTCTAAATTACATTTATCAGAGATGTAGAAGGGAAAACAGCTGTTCAGAGACTAAAGTCTCTGCCCACTGTAATTGATAATTTGTTACTTTATCTCCACCTATGCTTGTCAGGACCTAATTATGTGATGGTGGGATGTCTGGAGCCAGAGCTAGCGTGGTTTATTTAGGTTGAAAGTCTGTGTTTCAGAAATGAGAACAGAGCCATTTGCTACTCAGTTTGGCATCCCTCTTGTCCAGCAGCACTAAAACAGGCTTATTTGTCTCACTTAGACTGATAGCTTCAAAAAAAAATCTCCCGCACAGTACACAGATCAAAACACTCCTAGTAATACTGCCATGTGACATAAATATGTAACTACCCGTGGAAAGTGAAGGCAAAAGTTGTTGTTCCCCAAAGTGAAATCAAACATTGTTGTCCCTCTTTTACCAAAAGAAGATACCTAAACAGAGAGAACTCAGGCACTAGAAAGGAACAGAAACAGATGGTTTAAGTCCTATTTCCAATAATCTGTGCACCAAGATGTATGGCCCTCAGAACCTCTCTTTAGGCAATTCCTGACACACCACGCACACACCAGGGTAGGTAAAAGAACAGCAGTATCAAATCAGAGTAATGCTGTTGCCCACAGCATTCTCCTGGAGAAACTGGCTGCTCATGACTTGGATGGGTATACTCTTCACAAGGTAAAAAACTGGCAGGCTGGCCAGGCCCAGAGAGTTGTGGTGAATGGAGTTAAATCCATCTGGTGGCCAGTCACAAGTTGTGTTTTCCAGGGCTCAGTGTTGGGACCAGTTTTGTTTAATATCTGTATTAATGACCTGGACGAGAGGATAGAGTGCACCTTCAGTAAGTTTGCAAATGGTACCAAGTTAAGTGAGAGTGTTGATCTGCCTGAGGGTAGGAAGGCTCTACAGAGGGATCTGGACAGGCTGGGTTGATGCACCAAGGCCTGTTATATGAGGTTCAACACGTCCAAATGTCAGTTCCTGCACTTGGGCTGCAGCAATCCCATGCATGCTGCAGGCTTGGGGAAGAGCAGCTGGAGGACTGCCTTGTGGAAAAGAACCTGGACATGTTGGTTGACAGCCAGCTGAATTATGAGCCAGCAGTGTGCCCAGGTGGCCAACAAGGCCAATGGCATCCTGGCTTGTATCAGAAATAGTGTGATCAGCAGGACTACAGAAGTGATTGTCCCCCTGTATTTGGCACTGCTGAAGCCATGCCTTGAATACCATGTTCAGTTTTGAGCCCTCACTACCAAAGTAGAACTTTGAGGTGCTGGAGTGAGTCCAAAAAAGGGTAACAAAGCTGGTGAAGGGTCTGGAGAAGAAGTCTTAATGAGTAGCATCTGAAGTAACTGGAGTTATTCAGTCTGGACAAAAGGAGGCTGAAGTGTAAGGTCTTACTGCTCTCTACTGCTACCAGAAAGGAAATTGTAGTGAGGTGGGGGTTGATATCTTTTCCCAAGTAACAAGCAATAGACAAGAGGAAATGGCCCCAAATTGTGCCAGGGCAGGTTTAGATTCAATATTAGAGAAAAAAATCCTTTGCTGAAAGGATTGTCAGGCACTGGGAGAGGCTGCCCAGGGAAGTTGTTGAGTCACCATCCCTGGAGGTATTCAAAAGACATATAGGTGTGGTGCTTAGGGACATGGTTCAATGGTGGACTGAATTATGAGCCAGCAGTGTGCCCAGGTGGCCAACAAGGCCAATGGCATCCTGGCTTGTATCAGAAATAGTGTGATCAGCAGGACTACAGAAGTGATTGTCCCCCTGTATTTGGCACTGCTGAAGCCATGCCTTGAATACCATGTTCAGTTTTGAGCCCTCACTACCAAAGTAGAACTTTGAGGTGCTGGAGTGAGTCCAAAAAAGGGTAACAAAGCTGGTGAAGGGTCTGGAGAAGAAGTCTTAATGAGTAGCATCTGAAGTAACTGGAGTTATTCAGTCTGGACAAAAGGAGGCTGAAGTGTAAGGTCTTACTGCTCTCTACTGCTACCAGAAAGGAAATTGTAGTGAGGTGGGGGTTGATATCTTTTCCCAAGTAACAAGCAATAGACAAGAGGAAATGGCCCCAAATTGTGCCAGGGCAGGTTTAGATTCAATATTAGAGAAAAAAATCCTTTGCTGAAAGGATTGTCAGGCACTGGGAGAGGCTGCCCAGGGAAGTTGTTGAGTCACCATCCCTGGAGGTATTCAAAAGACATATAGGTGTGGTGCTTAGGGACATGGTTCAATGGTGGACTTGGCAGTGCTGGGTTAATGGTTGAACTTGACGATCTTAAAGGCCTTCTCCAACCAAAATGATTCTATGATTCTACATATATATATCCCGATAGCATGTCTCTGTCAGGAACCCATACAAGATGCATTATAGACAGAATAGAAGGAATGGGACACCCTCCTTCCCTGGTTCTGACCATACTGGGTCACTCTAGGAGTTGGCTGGTACATTTGAACCATTGAGTATAGCAGTTGCACGTGACCTTGTCTGTCAGAATAGATGAAGTCTGACCTGTGCTTTTGGTTTCTGCAGTATCTTTTTTCTTTAGGAAGCAAAGGAATGCCTGTCTGTTCTCTAATATGCTGTGATTGTTGCCCTTGCAGAGTATTTGGGTTCGTTGCCAGGAAGCAAGGCAGTGCCACAGACAATGTGTGCCACCTGTTTGCAGAGCATGATCCAGAGCAACCTGCCAGTGCTATTGTGAACTTTGTTTCAAAGGTCATGATCGGATCCCAGAAGAAGATCTGATGCCCTTCCATCCTTGACTCGGAGGTCTAAAGGATAGCACTGTGAGAGGGAGAAAGCCTATTCAGCAGCAGTATCTGAACCTTGTAATTTCCAAGAAGGAAGGCAGAGGATAGTCTTATCTGCATTATGCTTGTAAGAGTTCAGCCTTTTCTTTGAAGATGCCTCTGGCTTAACAACGCATTATTTCTTTGTTTTTATATCAAAGGACAAAACAAAAGAAGCTGGGTGCCATCCAAGTCCATGTAGCCCATACCTGAATGAAGCATAAATGAAAAAACTTCTCCTGAAGGGTTTCAAATATATTTTCAGATGCTGATTCTCATAATTTATTGAAGCAGAAATACACACTAGACTGTGCTACTTTTTTGTACAGAAAATGTTTTGTATAACCCCCACAAAGACACTTGCTGTAGTTGCATCAATGGTAGCTATAGGCCTTGCAAATATGCTGTTAAAAGAATGATTGTCTGAGGAAGAATGTTTCATCTTTATGTAAAATTTTGATGTAAAATTAATGGATAAAGGGGAATATGTATGTGAAGAGAAAGTTTGTGCAAGCTGATTTCTGGTAAGAAAGGAGCAGCAGTGTGGAATATTTAGGGAGATAGCTGTGTATGTAGTGTTCTGAAGGCTGGACTGTTTTAGTTTGAAAAATTTTAAATAGGGGAGAAGTGACAGAACAAAACAAAAAGTTTGCATGGAAATCTGTTCTCTAATTGGTGCTTTTTTTAATACAGAGAAATAAGCTGTAGCATAAACACAGAGAACTGTGTTTTAATAATTACAGGATAAAAATGAGGGAAAAGCAAAGAAAAAAAAGTATATGTATTTTTACTTATGCCAATTTATTTATAGTAGGTCTCAGATCTTGGTATGTCAGATTGATGTTCTTAAGCTAGACCATTGTTAAGTTTTGCCTCTTTAATGCTATTTTGCATAAGTAGAAGTGTGTATAGCCTATACCTTGTTATAGACCATAGAGTCTCGTATTTTAATTTTTGTATTACAGTGACAAGATACTTTCCATTTCCCAGCTCCACAATACTGTTTTGGTTGTCATACTTGTTCCTCTACCTAATACATAGTTATATTTGTGGATTCTTTTGGCCCCCTTTTTATTGGAGTTTTGGGAATTTTGGGGTTTTTTTATCTGCAGGAACTATTTTTTGTTTATAATTTTTTTTCATAATTCCTAGAGTTAGGAAATCCAAAAGGGAATTAAATTTATTTTGTAACTCTGTCCCATTTCTTGAGAGCATTTATGTCGTGAGTTACACGACCGTCACATTTGTACATATCTCTGTATCTTCCTAAACACACGGGTATTTTAAATGCATAAGAAGGTGCTAGTTAGCTTTACAGAAAATTAATACAGTAGAAACTACAGTGAAAAGGTTCATGAGGAAGGGAAGCTGATGAGGTCTACTGTATAATTCCCATTTGTACCAAAAAGAGCAGTACTAGACCTCAGAGTCAGAACTGATGGTAATGAAGCCGCTGCAGTGTCACAGTGCTGAAAACTTCCATTGCCTCTATGTCCTTGATTTGTGGCCGTCAACTTTATTTTAATAGCCAGAGAAATAACGTGACATACTGATTTCAATATGCCAAGCGTGAGGCTCTAGATTAACTAAGGACCGTACCTACCTGGAGGATTTAGTCCTTGTACTAAATAATGGTTAAATGGAATGGGAAACTTTGGTTGGGCGATATGGTAAGAAGGTTCCACCAATTTGAACTACTTTTTCCTATATAAATTATTATATGTTTTTTTATTAGCAGCTCTCTATTTCCTAAAGTATTAGGACCATGGAAATCTTACTTGGTGACCTTAGCTAAAAGAATTACCAAATTATTTGTGTAGCTATGAATTTCATATAAATAACTTTTATAAAAGGTGAGAAGAAAGTTTTGAAGTTTAATGTATTTGGACCAGGAAGTAGTGTATTAGTAGCAGTGGGCATTGGATGTTTGTAAAAGGGTGAAGCAATCCAAAGCCTAGTAGCTACTGTTGAAGCAACAAAAGCAAGTGCCTCTGATTTGTACCAAATAAATCTGTTTTTCTGACTGAGAGGAATATTACTTAAATAGCATTTATGTACCATCCAAAAAAGAATGCAGTTCTTACTTTTAGGAGCTTTGATCCTTTTGAAACATGGAAGGACAAATTTCCTTTTAATATTCTTTTGATGCGTCAAGAACCCAGTTGACTGAACTTGTCAGGCAGTTGAAGCCCAGTGAATTTCTTCAGCTGATGTCTCAAGTAGATTTAAGTCTCAAATTATATTTAAATCCAATGTGTTGTGAACTTTGAAATGAAGAGGAATTTTTTACTCTTATTTTTTAATTTCTGCAGACTATACTTACATTTCAGCATGTCTTGTCAGACACCAAGTGTTGGCCTTTCAGCTGAAAAGAAAGTGTCTATTTTTTTTTCCCCATGTTGCATCATTTCTGCTCAGGGCCATATTTTTTATTCCTTGTGCTTTCTCAAGGCCTACTGAATTCAGGAGCATAAGGAACAGAATGCCAGCACTCCTGGTGGTGTTTCCTGAGAGTTTAGGTCTACTTGTTAAGTGGAAAAAAAGAATTTGCCCTGTTTATAAGGGAGGTCTTTTATTATGCATTCCTTTGGATGGTATATTGCCACATGCTTTTGCTTTTTAATGAATTAAAAATGCACAAAGCAAAATAGCTCAGAATGTACCATTGTGTAGTGTATGTAGAAAGATATTCACAAAACTTCTGTTAATGTCAAATACAAGACTAAACAGCTAACACAGCACTTTCAGGGTTTTTGGTAATGTGTATATGCAGTTTCATAACTAATGGCAGCAAGTTTTAAACATGTATTTAGCCAGACTCCTATTAACCTGCTTAGTAAATGTATTACTATAATCGTACAGTTTTAAATGACAAAAATGCTAAAAGCCCTGTTTTTAATTGTGTATCCAACAGTATCATTAAAAATTTAATGTTTCCTTCTTGAATTTACCTGCTAGTGAAAATTTTTGCCTTTTTATTGAAACTGTATAGAAGCATCAAAAAGTCTCCAGTATGTAAATGAATGTTCTATAAATTCTTTGTATAGTAATTTTTCTCTGCTCTTGAGATATCACCTCTGTTCAAATGATAATAAAATTAGGAATGTGAAATTTCGTAACACAATGTTGCAGGGCAGTTTGTTCTTAAAGATTAAGTCTGGCATTCAAAACCAGTTAATGAGCAAAAACTTCTTGGTGAAGTAAGAATAGGTTGAGTATTGAAACGGATTTAGTTTTGTTTCTTAAAGATTTCTTTCAAGTACTTGACTTCACATGAGTCTGTGTGATTTAAGTCTAGTTAAAACATATGATCTTCCTTCCTTCTTCTGCAGTTAAAAGTGCTGTCTGCCTGCATTGCATATTTCAGTGTAAGAAGAATATATGATGTCACCTTCTGAGATGTTTATACCCATTTACCTGGGCCTCCACAGTGACTACACTGGGAAAACTTTCAGAGGAGCATGAGAGGGCTGAGAAATCTACCCCCTAGCTGAAATAGCTGAGTACAAAATCTGTGTGTCAACCACACATCAGAGCTTGGATTATATCCCTGCTTTATTTCAGTTGTTTCTGCAGCTGATAAACTCTGGTATGTCACACTGATTGATGCCTTTTCTGTGAGACATAACCTGGCAGGAATTTTGCATTCCATGTGCTTGATTGTCATTCATCACTACAGGCCATTGTGAGTTGATGCTTGGGTGTGACACATGACAGAGCTATTCATAAAAAGTATTCATCTTTTATTTGAATGAATTACAATGTGGAGCAGATTACAAGAGTGCAACAGTAAAATGCATCTTCTGTGTCAGAGTCCAGTCTCCTCTTAAATTCCTGTTCATGAACTGTGGTGCCATTGTGAGCATCTGTGCTGCTGTTGCTCTTCTTTGAATGCTGCTCTGGAGTCTCTTTGCTCCAGTGGATAAAAATCTGCATTCAGTATTCACCCTGTATTCACAGCTAGTTTATATGTGTTTTTGTTATGCCAACATGAACAACTGTTTTCTCCCTGAAGTATTTATAGCAAGACTGACCCTCCATGTGTCCTCACTCTTCTCTGACAAGGGTAAACAAGTCAGTACTCTGACCTTTCCTTTTTGTCTTTGAAAGGTGCAGAGACCTGTTCTTTTTTACTCTTTGTCATTTAAATCCTTTCTTTGGAGAGACCCTGAAGTGAACAGCTAGACTGTTCAAAGAGGGCATAAGCCTTGTGATTTTTAAAATATTTATCTTTGAAAACTTGTGGAACAAGAAAACTTGGCCCACCAGACAGAGAGCAAGTACCTCCTCTGCTTCTGCTGTTGACACCTAGCACAAGGGTTACAATAGTGTGAACTACATCATCCAGTGTGCCCAAAGGAAATTCTGAGCACAAATAGCTAAAGAAGTTCTCAAAAGCCTAAGTTAGAAACAGGAAGCTTGCAGACTTAGCAAGTCTGGCAGAATACCAAGAGGACAAAGGGGAGCTATTAGGAAATTTAAGGATCTTGGTGGGTAACATGAGAAGGGATTTCTCTTACATGCCACTGCAAGGGATATCAAGCCAGGACTATTATTTTCCTTAGAAGACATTAAGTGTCCTCCATAAAGCACAAATGTATAAACCAATTTTAATGTTTTAATATTTGCAGAATCGGAGTGGTTGAGGTTGGAAGGGACTTCTTGGAGGTAGCGTGGTCCAACTCCCCTGTTCAAGCAGGGTCACCTACAGCCAGTTGCCCAGGGCCACCACCAGACAACTTTTTAATGTCTCCAGGGATGGAGACCCTGTCACTGAGTCATGAGGTTCAGAATGGACCCCCTTGCTTTCCCACCTCTTTCTCAGAGAGGAGTCTAGGTGCAGCTAGATCCAGTCCTAGTCCCAGACTTGAGCAACAGTTTATATCTAAAGAATTATGTATGCACAACCAATCCTTTTTATCACTTAGCTAAGATTTCAAAGTTTAGCTTGCTCTT